CACTGTCCCTCAGCTCTTCAGCTCAAGGCTAGCGCTCTACCACTTGAGCCACAGCGCCACTTCCGGCTTTCTTCTTTTTGCTTATGTGGTGCTGAGGAATTGAACCCAGGGCCTCAGGCATGCAAGGCAAGCACTCTACCACTGAGCCACCTTCCCAGCCCCTGGGGACCTGTTTTGTAAGCTACTCAATAAGAATTTGTCCTAGCATCCAGAGGGCTACAGGAAGCTCAAGTGTTGACAGTGTCAGCCTTGAGTGAAAAAGTCAAGCAAGAACTCAAAAGCCCTGAGTTCAAGCACCAGTAGCAAGTGTGTGTGTGTGTGTGTGTGTGTGTGCTCGCGCGCACACACACAGAGTTCTAAATGTCATGTTTCAACTTGTAATTCTGCATACCTGGCTAATCCTTGTACAACTTTCGGGCAAAGGCAAAAGACCAAACTTGGGGCTAGAATGAATATAATTAGGTTAGTTCTTTCTCTAGTTATTACTAACAGGGCGTTTAGCAAACCCTATACTTGAACAGTTTAAAAAGACAATAGAGGATACTGGGACCTAAACACAGGAGAGGAAGAAATTAACTACAAATAAAATAAAATTAAAAAAAAAACCAAAGAGTTCAAAACAAGCATCTTCAGCCTGAAGAGGAATACTGTAAACAATTAACTGCTACCCCAGAATCCCACTTACAAGGGCCTCCTCCCAAGGAGTCAGCCAGGAGCCATATGTGAAATGTTGACTTCACAGACAACTAAGCACCCTGAGAGTTGGTCTTCATTCAGCCTATGTGGCAGCCTTAAAAATTTGGAATGTCCAACAACCAAGGCCATACTTTGGTAAGGCAGGCCTCCCAACTGCCCTAGTAACTTTTAGAGAGATGTTTACATAACTACTTTAGAGTAGTTACTCTTAATGTGTTTATGAGAAAGACAGCACTGATAATATTTTCATATGAAGAATCGAATGCTACAGGGTTGAAAATCGTGCAAAAACACAAATCAACTCATCTGCAAAGGACATGCTGAGGAGGAAGTTGATGTTCTGGCAGAATATCAGATGAACAACAGACTCAACAAATGTCCAGTTTGGCCTCATTGTCAGGATTTGGCTTCTAGCCAAGCCAACCAAGTAAGTAGCAGCACACACAGAAATAGAACTTGGAGTTCCAAACTTCCAGTCCACTGTTTCGCTCAGTAAATGACCAGAGGACCATTAACAAACTGGCTTTATCCCCCACTTTTTAAAGTCAAAGAATGGAAAAGTTTATGGGTCACCCTTAAGATCTTTCATTTATAAATGAGTAACAAATTTCTGCACCTGGTACAGTCACCACTAAGTAGCATCCAAAGGTTTAACTAGATTACTTCACAATGGAGGATGAATCACAAGCCTAGGATTCTCTTCCAATAGATTCTTAATTAAAAAACAAAACACCCATTATCTCTAAAATCCTTTGCAGTTTCTATCACTATTTAACTGGATTCCTACCAAGTGTGTCAGTGCTGGGGACTGAACTCAGAACTCAGGGCCTTGAACATGCTAGGCAAGCACTGTTAGACTGGGTTATGTCCTTAGTATTTTCTGTTTTTTGGGTTTTGTTTTTGTTTTGCCAGTCCTGGGGCTTGAATGCAGAGCCTGGCACTGTCCCTGGGCTTCTTTTGCCCCAGGCTGGCACTCTACCATTTGAGCCACAGTGCCACTTCTGACTTTTTCTGTTTATGTGGTACTGAGGAATTGAAAATCCAGGGCTTCATGCATTAGGCAAGCACTAAGCCACATTTCCAGCCCCTGTTTTTTTGTTTTTTTTTAATATAGGGTCTGCTATGCAGTGTAGGCAGCTTCAAACTCAAGATGTTCCTGTCTAGCCCAATTTCTGGGATTATAGAAATATACCAGGTCAGGTGGTACATTTGACTAGGGTAAAATGAACATATCAAAGATCAAATTACAGACCAAGTGCATCATACACTTCAGAGTGTTTGAATTTTGTTATGCTGGTTCTGGGGCTTGAAACTCAAGGCCTGGGAACTGTCCCTCATCTTTTTTGCTTAAGGTGAGCACTCTATCGCTTGGGCTCCACTTCTGTTTTTTCTTTTCAGTGTTTGAGAGATAAATCTCATGACTTTCCTGCATGGCTTGGTTTTGAATCATGATTCTCAGATCTTAGCCTCCTGAGTGGTAGGGATTGCAGATATGAGCCACCAGTGCCTTTTTTTGTTTTTGGTGCCAGTACTGGGCCCTGTCCCCCAGTTTATTTGCTCCAGACTTCTTGGTCTACTATTTTCAGCCACAGCTCCACTTCCAGGTTTTTGATTTTGGGAGGAGGTAAGAGTATCTCCTCGACTTTTGTACCTGGGCTTGCTTTGAACTGAGATCCTTAGATCTCAGCCTTCTGAGTAGCTAGGATTAAAGGTGTGAGCCATTGGTGCCCAGCTTAAATTTTAGATGAACTATACTTAAGGATGAGTGTGAGGCTGTGAATATGGCCTAGAACTGGGGGGGGGGGGGTAGAAGAGTATGGTAGTACATGCCTACAATCTCACAACTTGAGAGGCTGAGGCAGGAAGATTGAGAGTTTGAGGCTAGCCTGAACTACACAGTGAAATCATATCTTTTTTAGCCTAACCTTCCCCCCAATACCACCCCGAGAAGCACTTGGGTTTGAACTCAGGGCTTCTTGCTAGGAAGCCAGGGACTCTACTCCTTGAACCATATTTCCACCTCAAACATTTTGTTTATTGTTTTGCAGTGCTGAGGATGGAACCCAAGGCATCAAACATGTCAGCACTTGATCTACCATTGCCACATACCCTCAGCAAGAGACCCTGTCAAGAAAGAAAGAAAGAAAGAAAACCAGCCAGGAAAAAAAGTATTCAGGTCAACAGTGACCCTATTTTTGCAATTTAGTTGTAACATTTTCTCCTGAGAAAGTCAGAGGGATGGAGAACAAAATTTTAAAGATAGAGAATTATCACTCATAAAAGTTAAAACGATTACTACTAGGGGAAGTACTTCTATTTCTCAAGAAATTTTTACAGGTCTTGCTAGTAAAGTTCAGGAATTTGACCTTCCATAGTTGGTAATAAGATTCACTTCAAAGTATCCAGAAAGATAAAAGTTTACTGCCCAGTTACCTTCCTACTGCAGAGCCTACCTACTCATAATTTTAACTGACATTTTAGCCAAACTATAATTTGAAGATCTCCCTGAGCAACAAATCTCTCTGGATTTAGATTTCAAGCAGTAGGAAACAAGATGCAATTCAATGACTTCACATCAAACTTCAAGTTTTAAGAAGTTGGTACAACTATACTTTCAGGTTGAGTTTATTCTTTTAAAGCAGGTCTCTCCCCACATCCTAAATAATTTTTTTAAAATCTGTTATCTACTTTAGTAGCTTCAAGATCTACAGAAGAGATTCCCTTAGCAACAATACATCAGTGGCACACAAAATAATCTTGTCTAGTTTGTGGGACAAAAATACTTGAAATTGGAAAGACTGTGGAGTCTTACAAAGAATACACTGGAATTAGTTCCTTTTACACCTCTAGAAAGGCAGCCATTTCTTCCCAAAAGTTTTTAGTAAAACTATGGCTCGGATTTCAAAATGCAAACAGATGTTTCTGAAGCATCCAAAAAGAGCCACTCTGAATGGCGACTCTGAATCATTTTATGTCTCAACCCTACAAAAGGCAGAAACACTCCCACCCACCCACCCCACCCGCCGTCCCTTTGGTGTAAACTTTCAAGAGAAGTGTAAGGACACACTTTAGTAGGAGTTTCCAAAGTGGCTGAGTGATGTACGGAGGTCGGGTCGTTCTGGGGATCAGGACTGGACGGGATAAATTTTGAGGGCAAGAGCGCTCAGAGATCTCCAAACGGGAGGAGCTAGAGGCTCCCACGTGCCCCCATCGCCATCCACTTGGTCCCACTGGAACTCAGGGTTGCTACATTTAGTTCGAAGATTTGTTACTTTTCGCAGCCAGAGTGGCAGGATGGCTTTGGTGTTGGGGGTGGGGGTGACTATGCATCGGATCTCCGCCCCCGGAGCCTCCAGCGAACCACCACGCCTGGGGGGGGGGGGGACCGAGAGAACCAGGGCTGCGACCTCTGCCCTTCCCAGCGGTGCCAGCGACTGGAACCCGGCGTCGCGCCCACCTCGTCTGTCAAGAGTGGGGGGCCCGCTACGCCTGGCCTGCCGGGCCGCCACATCCCCAGGACGAATGGGGGCGGGGGGAGAGGCCTTGGCGGAGTCCGGCCTCGGATCCACGCCTCTGTGCAAGTGCAGCAGAGGAGAGCCCCATCTCGGTGGTCTCTCCCCTACTGGGAGGGCTCTCGGGAAACACACGGTAATTACCATAGAACCCCGCTCTCCGGGAGAAGCGAGGCTGTGGGGCTGCCGGGACGCTTTGAGGACCGGGCTCCGCCGGGGAGATCCAACCTTCACCCTCCCCGGTATCCCTCCCCGACGTCTCCCGGCGAAGCCACTTCAGGCAGCCCACTCGGCCCGGCCTCTCCCCGCGCCCGGACCACCCCCCATGGGGTGCTCTCACTGCGCAGCGAGTCCCTCCGCTGCCTCCTCCCAGCCCAAAATGGCGGCGGTGGCGGCCACCGATCTTCTCGTCGCCTTCCTCAAGGGCTGGGTATCCCTCCGCAGCTAAGCCCAGCCCCTTTATGCCGGATCTACTTCATTCCTCCCGTAAAGATGAACAGTATCAATGAACTCTTTAATTGAGATGGAGAGGGAGGTAGTTTTCTGCTTCCGCACAGCTAATCGTTAACGACATTGAAAATATTGGCAGAAGGCTGGACCAATCAGGAAAAGGAGCGGTGTGCGCGGGACTCCCGCGCAAGGGCAGATGGGTTTTGAAGTTCTAGGGTGTGGTTGTTGACTTGCCGGACCTTTGGCTGCTGTCCCACGATGGAAGAACTACAATCCCCAGCAGACACTGCGCTGCCAGGCTGTTTCCCCTCCCCCACAACCTTAGTGCTTGAGCGGCTGCCTCGGACAGAGCTGCTGCTACTGCAGTAAGAGACTAGGGCTGAGGCTTTGGGAACCGATCGCACAGAAAGACACACAAGAGGTAGTGAGTGGTGTGCATAACCCTGACAGCAAGTAGGTCAATTCCACCTTTGCAAAACCCTTCCATGATTTATTTCCCCTTCCTCAATAAACCCGTCTTTATCCTAGTTGGATTTCCTTCCCAGCTGCATGTAATGCAGTCCTCTTAACCTTTTTCCTCTGTTTCCCTTCCCCAGAGGAAGGAGGGAAACTGACAAGGCTCAAGACAAAATGGCCTCAGCTCTAGGCTCCACCCAGATCTTAGCCAAACTTCCAGAGGTTTTGCCTAGCCTGGGGAGGAGGCTGAGGTGGGGCTGAGGTGGCCAAGAGCTCCCAGTCTCCTTTTCTCGTTGGTTATTGGGGCATCAAAACTTAGGCCTCAGTGACTTCTCAGAGGAGAAAGTATAGGTGAAGTCCTAGTTTGAAGCCTGAAGTTCAGGACTGGGAAGATGGCCCCTCAATTCCATTTGGTCCCTTGCTGGCTGGAGGTGTGAAAATCAGGCTGTGGAAGTGGCCTTCGAGCCTCTCCACTGTGCAGTTCTGGGGCTACAAAATGGCTGCCACTGCCTGGGCAAACAATTCCTGAGCAGCCAGATTCTTCCTAAGAATTGTCCTTCAGGATTTAGGTTTTTCTGTTGTTCAAAACAGGTGCCAGGAGTTAAAGGCATCTGGTAAAAGAAGATGGCCACTGTGAATCAGACCAACTGTAATACAGAGTCACCAACAGCTGTAGAGGAGGTGAAGGTAAGTCTTGCCCTCCAAGTCACCTGAGTACCCTGAACATGGGAGCTGCCAGCTGTCATTTCAACTTTTCTGTCTCAGATATGCTGGCAGATTTGGAAAACCAGTATTTTAATTGAGTCTCCATTATGCTCTGGGTAATAAGCCAGATAAATCAGCGCTAAATCATGAGTTCCTAGTAGCCCTTCATTTTCAGTTCACAGAAGTTAAGGTTCTAGCTGAAATGCCTTTTCTAGACTTCTTGACACGTAACAAGCATCAGGTTTAAACTTAGTGCCTTCTGGGGCTGAGCTTGTGGTTAAGTGGTAGAGTGCCTACCTAGCAAGTACAAGGCCTGGGTTCAAACTCCAGTACTGCCAAGATAAAAAAAAAAAAAAAAGGCTGGAAATGTGGCCTACTGGTATTGAGTGCTTACCTAGCATGCATGAAGCCCTGGGTTTGATTCCTCAGTACCACATACACAGAAAAAGCCATAAGTGGCACTGTGGCTCAAATGGTAGAGTGCTAGCCTTGAGCAAAAGCAGCTCGGGTACAGTGGTAAGGCCCCGAGTTAAAGCAAAAATAAATAATAAAAATAGATTAAAAAAAAAACAGGGTTGGGCTGAAAATATGCCTTGCATACATGAAGCCCTGGGTTCGATTCCTCAGTATCACATACTCAGAAAAGGCTGGAATTGGTGCTGTGACTCAAGTAGTAGAGTACTAGCCTTGAGCACAGACTCCGGGACAGTGCCCAGTCCCTGAGCTCAAGCCCCATGACTGGCAAAAAAAAAGAAGAAGAAGAAGAAAGGTAGGGTTTTCTGACAACAGGACATTGTCTTAAGCTCAGGGACAAATAACTTGGTTCAATTTTTCCATCTTGTTCAGGCTAAGAACCAAGTGTGAAGCAAGAAAAACAGTTTAGGATAAAAATTTGAGGGCTGGGAATGTGGCTAACTGGTAAAGTGCTTGCCCAGCATGCATGAAGCCCTGGGTTTGATTCCTCAGTACCACATAAATAGAAAAAGCCAGAAGTGGCACTGTGGCTCAAGTAGTAGTGCTAGCCTTGAGCAAAAGAAGCTCAAGGACAGTGCACAGGCCCTGAGTTTAAGCCCCAGGACTGGCTAAATAAATAGAGATGTAAGTAGAGAGTAGGAGATAACCCAGAAGAGAGGACAGAAAAGAGGTACTATGCCCTTTGAGAATACCACCTTCTAGTCTGACAATAAGAATCCAAACCCTACCAGGTGCCAGTAGCTCATTTTGTAATCCTAGCTACTCTGGAGGCTGAGATCTGAGGATCACAGTTCAAAGCCAACCCAGGCAGGAAAGTCTGTGAGACTCTTATCTCCAATTAACTGGAAATGGTGCTGTGGCTCAAGTGGTAGAGTGCTAGCATTGAGCACAAAGAGGCTCAGGAACAGCACCCAGGCCTTCAGTTCAAGCTCTACAACTGACAAAAAACTCTTCTAGCTCATTACATCACTCTGCCTTACCTTACCTATTCTCCTCTTCTCACAACTTTCCATAGATGAGGGTTTTTTTTTTTTTGTTATTTTGTATTTTTTTTATTTATTTTTTATTGTAAAGATACTATACAGAGGGTTACAGTTACATGAGTGAGGTAATGAGTACACTTCCTCTTGAACATTGTTAGCCCCTCCATTGTTTTCCCATAGATGAGGGTTTTAAGGGAAGTAAAGCTTTTATTACTATTATTATTTAATTTATTTTTTATTTTTTTAAATGCTAGGGATCAAACTTCAAGTCTTCTGCATGTTAGGCAAGCATTTTACCACCAAGCTACATCCCAAGCGCTTGCTTTTTTTGTTTTTAAACAGTTTCAGTATGTAGGTCAGGCTGCTTTTGAATTGATCCTCTTGCTTCTACCTTCCAAGGGCTGGGATTATAGCATGTGCCACTACACCTGGTTCAGAGAAGCTTTGACCTACCCTACCTAGCCAGTTTCCGTGTTAAATGAATTAATCTTACTTGGGATTCATGACATGTTGAGGCAAGAAGGTTCGGAGAGGGCAAATGACTCACCCAGGTGACACAGCTTATCTTCAAAAATGATAATGGTGGTTGAGGGGTAAGACTTCAGAAGGAAGATGGAATGTAAGACTAGGGGAAGGATCACTAGGGGACATACACTAAGGGCAGAGAACTAGTCAATGATCATGAACACACAAGCCATCTTGCCTTAGTTCTAAGAGGCTTTGTCTCTTTTTTTTGGGGGGGGGTCCGGTCCTGGGGCCTGAACTCTGGGCCTGGGCGCTGTCCCTCATCTCTTCAGCTCAAGGCTAGCACTCTACCACTTGAGCCACAGCACCACTTCCGGCTTTTTTCTTATGTGCCGCTGAGGAATGGAACCCAGGGCCTCAGGCATGCAAGGCAAGCGCTCTACCACTGAGCTACCTCCCCAGCCCCAAGGCTTTGTCTCTTATGGGTGGGGACAACAGCTCTGTCTTAGCCCAAATTGATGGAAATGGCCTGTTGTTCATGATTGATGAACTCCCTGCAAGTAACACAACACACACACACACCCGTACTCTCGTTCTGTAACTGTAACATACTTCTTTTCCCCTGATGTTCCCCCTCAGAATCTGTAAAACACACATAATATGCTCCAGGCTTTTATAGGGCCTTAAAGACCGCATTGTTGAAACTGGGTCATAGCTCTAGTGATAGCATACCTGCCTAGCAAGGATGAAGTCCTGAGTTCAAACACAGTATCCAATGAAAAAACCCAAAACTGACACATTGCCCAAATACTCTTCATTTGTATGAATGCATGCACGGATGCCATGTTGTATTTTATAAAGCAACAGGCTGGATGATTTGGGTATTATTAGAAATCCTCCAAACCACAAACTTAGAGCAATTCACTGCCCATCCCCCACACCCAGTACTCCTACCCGCACCACAACAGAGATAAACAGACACACTCTCTGGACAGATCCCTTTCTATCTCTTGTGAGTTCTGGAGCTTGCAATACAGAATATAATTGACACTTTTACGTTAAGGACCTCTTTGATACTCATAAAGTACTTGATATAAACACATTCTAGGACTAGGAAGGTGGCTCAGTGGTAGAGTGCTTGCCTTGCATGCATGAGGCCCTGGGTTCGATTCCTCAACACCACATAAACAGAAAAAGCTGGAAGTGGCACTGTGGCTCAAGTGGTAGAGCACTAGCCTTGAGCTGAAGAGCTGAGGGACAGTGCCCAGGCCCAGAGTTCAGGTACCATGACTGGCAAAACAAAAAACAAAAAAAAAACACAAAAAAACAACAACAAAAAAAAACCTTCTATCTTCCATACCTTAGAAGGATAAAAAGGAGAGTAGTCTTCTGTTTGTCCAGCATTTTGGGGGTTCTCTTTTTTCTTTTTCTTTTTGGTAGTACTGAGGTTTGAACTCAGGAACTAGTACTTGAACTCCATTTCTGGCTCTTTTTTGTTTTCATTATTTTTCAGGTCAGGGTCTGACGTTATTTCCCAAGGCAGCCTTGGACCTTGACCTTCTTGCCTGCTTATGCCTCCTGAGTAGCTGGGATGACAGGCATGTGCCACCATACCAGCTTGTTGCTTGTTTGTTTGTTTAATTTTTTGCCCATCCAGGGGCTTGGAACTCACAGCCAAGTCCTCTCACTTGGCTTTTTTGCTCAAGGCTGTTCTACCACTTGCGCCACGCCTCCACTTGCTATCTAGCTTGTTGAGATGAGGAACTCATTTGAGTATTTTGCCTGGGCTGGCCTCAAACTGAAATCTTCCTCATCTCTACCTCCAGAGTAAAGATTGTAGCCACCCTATATCCTCTTATCTTACAAAGTTTTGGTCACTTAACAAATATTTATTGAGCATTTACTGTATGCCGTGTGTAGGAGTAGAGTGGGAAACTGAACAGACGAGACAGTCTAACATTCTCAGGGAAGGAAGGAAGATGGTAAAGTAAGTGGCAATATGCTAAAGATTGTGTGGTGTATTACCTGTGTGCTATGATAGAAGAGTCACTGGGGAGGGGAGGTAGGGCTACTTTAAGAAGGATAGTCACGAGAGCCTCCTTGAACTGGTGACATTGGGACTGAGCCCTAAAGGATAAGAAAGAGCCAGCCATTCATACAGCTGGAGGCAGGATCTACTATACAATTATGGGGCCCCTTGTTCATAAATTACTGAGTTTAGGGTAGAGTGCCTGCCTTAGTAGGCACAAGGACCTGAGTTCAAACCCCAGTAGCAACAACAAAAAATTATTTTTTGAGTTCAAAGCTGGGCATAGTGGCAGGTGCCTGTGAGCCTCGGCTTTTTTTTTCTCTCCAGTGCCAGTACGGAGGCTTGAACTCAGGGACCGGGGTTTTCTCCCTTAGGTTTTTGTTCAAAGCTAGCATTCTCCTATGTGATCCATACCTCCATTTCTGCCTTTTTTTTTTTTTTTTTTTTGCTGGTTAATTATAGATAAGTGTTTCGCAGGTTTTTCTGCTCAGGCTGGCTAGGATTATAGGTGTCAACCACTGGCACCTGACAAGCATATTTACTTGGGAGGCTGAGGCAGCAGGATCATAAGTTTTGAATATAACCTGAGATACACAGCAAAACTCTCATGTCAAAAAAAAAAAAATCTGGGCTCACTCCTATAATCCTAGTTACTAGGAGGCTGAAATCTGAGGATACTCGTTCAAAGCCAGCCCAGGCAGGAAAGCCCACGAGACTCATCTTCAGTTAGCTAACAAAAAAGCCAGAAATGGAGCTATGGCTCAAGTGGTAGAGCTTTAGCAAAAAAAAAAGCTCAGGAGCCAGGCGCTGGTGGCTCACGCCTGTAATCCTAGCTACTCAGGAGGCTGAGATCTGAAGATCGCAGTTCAAAGCCAGCCCGGGCAGGAGAGACCGTGAGACTCCTATCTCCAATAAACCACCAGAAAACCGGAAGTGGCACTGTAGCTCAAGTGGTAGAGCGCTCGCCTTGAGCTGAAGAGCTGAGGGACAGCGCCCAGGCCCAGAGTTCAAGCCCCACGACCGAAAAAAAAAAAAAAAAAAAAAGCTCAGGGACAGTGCCCAGGCTCTGAACGAACACACACACACACACACACACACACACACACACACACACACACACACACGCAGGCAGGGACAGCAGAGTAAGCATGGGGCATTTGTGCAAGTGCAGAGGTTGCTTATCAAGGAAAGCCATTCTGTCTAAAAGACACACATTCTAGCAAGAGTGAAAAGTAGGTACATCAGGACCTGCCTTCCATTACTGGTTGCTTTCCTGGTCCATTCATGTTCACAATATTTATTTGTTCATTTGTGTGCTAGTACTTGGGCTTGAACTCATGGCCTATGGTGCTATCTCTTAGCTTTTTCTCTCAAGGATAGTGCTCTTCTACTTGAGCCACAGCTCTACTTCTAGCTTTTTGGACAGTTATTTGGAGATAAAGAGTCTCACAGACTTTCCTGCTGGCTCTAGCTTCAAATCTCAGATCCTCTGAGAACCCTTCAATTCTCAGATCTCAGCCTCCTGAGTAGCTAGGATTATAGGCATGAGCCATAAGAACCCAGCTTTTTTTGCTTATATATGCTAATCCTGAGGTTGAACTCAGGGCCCAGGTGCTATCTTTGAGCTTCTTTGCTCAAGGCTAGTGCTCAAGAGCCACAGCTTCACTTCTGGCTTTTTTGGTGCTTACTTGGGGATAAGAGTCTCACAGACGCCGGGCGCTGGTGGCTCACGCCTGTAATCCTAGCTACTCAGGAGGCTGAGATCTGAAGATCGCAGTTCAAAGCCAGCCCGGGCAGGAGAGACCGTGAGACTCCTATCTCCAATAAACCACCAGAAAACCGGAAGTGGCACTGTAGCTCAAGTGGTAGAGCGCTCGCCTTGAGCTGAAGAGCTGAGGGACAGCGCCCAGGCCCAGAGTTCAAGCCCCACGACCGACAAAAAAAAAAAAAAGAGTCTCACAGACTTTCCTACTTGGCCTGGCTTTGAACCGAAATCCTCAGATCTCAGCTTCCTACCTAGGATTACAGGTATGAGCCACCAGCACTTGGCTAAGCACTGGCTTTTTTCCCATGGTATTTATAAAATCCCTACTCTTGGTGGGCACCAGAGGCTTGCACCTGCAATCCTAGCAACTCAGAAGGCTGAGATCTTAGGCTCTAGGTTTGAAGCCAAGAAAGTTGTTGAGATTCTTATCTCCAATAACCTACAAGAAAGAAAGAAAGGAAGGAAGGAAGAAGGAAAGAAAGGAAGAAAGAAGGAAGGAAGAAAGAAGGAAAGAAAGAAAGACTGGAAGTAGAGCTATGGCTCAAGTGATAGAGCACTAGCCTTGAGCAATGAAACTCAGGGACAACACCCAGGCCCTGAGTTCAAGCTCCACGAGTGGCAGAACACAAAACAAAACAAAACAAAAAAAAAAGTTACAAGCAGGGCATTGGTGGCTCATGCCTGTAATCCTAGCTACTCAGCAGACTGAGATCTGAGAGGATCACGGTTCAAAGCCAGGCAGGAAAGTCTATCAGACTCCTATCTCCAAGTAACCACCAGAAAACCGAAAGTGGCATTGTGGCTCAAGTGGTAGAGCGTTCTCCTTGAGCTGAAGAGCTCAGGGACAGTGCTCAGGCCCAGATTTCAAGGCCCATGGCCAAAAAAACCCCCAAAAACCCGAAAAACAAAAACCCCAAAACCCATAAAACAATGACCAAAAAAGAAAAAGAAAAAATACCTACTCTGTAGCCCATATTGTTTTAGGCATTAAAATGACCAGTAGTGAAAGACACAGGGAAAATACTGCTCTTACCTGAGTTTACCAGGAGAGCTAGAGTCAGATAATAACTAGGTAAACAGTTACAAAAGTGAGAGGGTAGGGACTGGGAAGGTGGCTCAGTGGTAGAGTGCTTGCCTTGCATGCATAAGGCCCTGGGTTTGATTCCTCAGTACCACAAAAGCAGAAAAAGCCGGAAGTGGTGCTGTGGCTCAAGTGGTAGAGTGCTAGCCTTGAGCTGAAGAGCTGAGGGACAGCACTCAGGCCTACAGTTCAGGCCCCACAACCGGACCCCCACCCCTACCCCCACCCCCCCAAAAAAAGTGAGAGGGTAGAGGGGGAGTAGGTGAGCTGGTATGGGAAGGTTGACTCCATGCTTGGTGGGCAGGGATGGATTCTGTCCCGCTTAGGGACAGGCTGTCCTGATCCATCCTTTCTCCTCTTTCTTTAGACCTCTGGCACTCCAGGGAGTCCCCAGGTACTCCCTGAGCCACTAGCCCATGGTAGTTCCCTGTTTCTGACAGCCCAAAAGGAAAGCATCTCAGAAGATGAAGATCTTGCCGGGGCTGGCAGTGGTCCAGGCTGCAGCAAAGGGGGTCCCAGGACCCAGAGTGCGGGGGCCTGTGCCTCTGGGGCTGTGCTGGGCAGGAAGAAGCACCGGAGGCGGTCATCGAAGCGCAAGCGGCACTGGCGGCCCTACTTAGAGCTGAGCTGGGCTGAGAAGCAGCAGCGGGATGAAAGGCAGAGCCAGAGGGCCTCCCGAGTCCGGGAGGAGATGTTCGCCAAAGGCCAGGCCGTGGCACCCTACAACACCACCCAGTTCCTGATGAATGACCGTGACCCAGAGGAGCCCAACCTGGATGTGTCTCACAGGGTGTCCTACCCAGCCTCCAGTGGGGAAAGTGAGGCAGAAGACAGCGATGGGAAGGACCTAGCCAATGGTGAGTTCCAGCAGAGGGACTTTTCTGAGACTTACGAGCGTTACCATACTGAGAGTCTGCAGGGCCGCAGTAAGCAGGAGCTGGTTCAAGACTACCTGGATCTCGAGAAGCGGCTGTCACAAGCAGAGGAGGAAACACGGAGGCTGCAGCAGAGGCAGGGAGGCACCGGCCAGCAGCCCTGTCACCAGGTGGAGGAGCTAGCTGCTGAGGTAAAGAGGCTCAAGACAGAGAACCAAAGGCTTCGGCAGGAGAATGAGGTGCGATTCCGATTCCGAGAGGGCTGCCACCACAGTGGGGAGCCTGGTACCTAGAACCCTCCCAGGCAGGTGGACCCAAGGACAAGGCCCCATTTTAAACCCAGGCTATCTGCATCTCAAGGAGCTAGTGGCAAATGAAAATCACACTCAATACTCCTGGGCCCCCTGAGAACAGCTAAGACAAGTTCCAGCTTCTGCAGTGGACTTTTTGATGCCATCTTACCTTCCCCTCCTCCTCCTCCTCCTCCTCCTCCTCTCTTTTTCTCTCTCTCTCTTTTTTTTTTGTTGTTGTTATTCACTTTACTTTTTACAGAGAAATTAAATGATGTTGATAAAACCGAGCGGGAGTGACTAGAATTGCTTTCACTAGGCTCTTCTGAGAATCAAAACTCTTTGATTCTAAAGAGATCTCAGTGCCCCTCTCTCTCCTTGCTCAGAGCTAGAGAGGTCAGTAGACCTCTAGATGGGGCCCTGAAAAAGTGTCCAAATGCCTAAGTTCTGCTCTGTGTTCTGCAGCAAGTGGCCTGTGCTCAGGGGTTTACAAGTTAGGAGAGCTCTCAATCAAGAACACACAAGTGTAGCCAGAACTCGATGCCCATGATGTCAGATGGCAGCTGGGCTGGGAATGGTGGTACATACCTGTAACAGTGTAAGGGAGGCTAAGGCAGGAGGACTAAGAGTTCCAAGCTGGCATCTTTTGAGACCCTAACTGCATAAAATAGGTAGGTAGGTAGGTAATAGGCCGAAAGATAGATAGATAGATAGATAGATAGATAGATAGATAGATAGATAGATAGATAGAATGATAGAACGATAGAACAAAAGGTCCAGCACCAGCAGCTTACACCACTAGTAATGCTAGCTACCTGCAAAGCTGAGATCTGAGGATCAAAGTCTGAAACCAGCCAGGGCAGGACAATCTGTGAGACTCATCTAATCAGAAAAAAGCTGGAAGAGGAGCTGTGATTCAAGTGGTAGAGTGCCAGCCTTGAGTGAAAATGCTTAGGGAAAGTGTCCAGGCCCAGAGTTCAAGCGTCCAGAGTTCAAGCTCTGGTACCAGCATGAAAAAAAAAAAAAAGGTGGCAGGAGCTAGCAGCCTCCCCTACAGAAGGAGAAGTAGTTTGGGGGGGGGGGTGAGAAGAAGGGAAGATTTTTGGAAAAAGCTGAAGTGTGGAGTTCCTGGGGTTTTTTCAGTACTTGCTCTCAGGTTTCCTGTTTTCTCCTCACAGATGAGGGCTGGGCCCCATTGTCCTCCACAGTCCCGCCTCTCCACCCATCACAGCACTGGGCTAGCTGTAACATAAGTCCTCACAGTCTGTCCTCTTCTCTACTAAAAGGACATTTATTTACTTATTTATTTTTGTGCTGGTCCTGGGGCTTTTACTAGTGCTTGTTTCCTGCCCCTGAGTTTTTTTGTTTTTTGTTATTTTGGGGGGGCTTAAACTTTGGGCCTGGGCGCAGTCACTCAGCTCTTCAGCTCAAGGCGAGCGCTCTACCACTTGAGCCACAGCCTCACTTCCGGTTTTCTGGTGGTTTATTGGAGATAAGAGTCTCATGGAGTTTCTTGCCTGAGGTGGCTTTGAACCATGATCCTCTCAGATCTCAGCCTCCTGAATAGCTAGAATTAGAGGTGTGAGTTGCTGGTGCCCACCCCGGCTCCCCTGAGTTGTTTTTTTTTTTTTTTTTGCCCAAGGCTAGCACATTGCCACTTGAGTCATAGTTCCATTTCCAGTTTTTTGGTGATTAATTGGAGGTAGGAATCCCAGTAGCTTTCCTGCCAGGTCGACCTTGAACCTAACCCTCAGATCTCAGCCTCCTGAGTAGCTAGGTTTCCAGGCATGAGCCATCAATACCTGCTAAAAGGACATTTAGAAGTAAGCACTCAAGGAAGAATTCACCAGGTGGAAAATGTAGTTGAGAGGGAGGAGTAGCAGTGCATGAATCCCTAGGGGAACTGCCCATCCAGTGTGTTGTCCCTTTCCTCTGAAGTGAGGGTCCCCACCCTCCCCCCACCTGGCTGTGCTTCACAGAGGTAAGTTATGTCAGATGCGAAAATCCTTTGCTTGTCTGCATTGGGCTCTAAAATGAGCTCCCACCCACTCTGTGCCCCTGTGCTGCAACAAGGATCATTTTAGCAGGTGGCAGGGGAAGGTAGCTCACCAGTGAGCCCTTGCCTCTCTAAGCCTCAGGGCACAGGAGGAGTAGAGACCTGGCCAGCCCAACCTGGCTTCTCTTCTGGGCACTCATTGGGACACTGCATTGGGTAAGAAAAGATCTCTGGCCCAGGAACTGCTAGGGATGGAAATGTTGATGAAGCCTGTGTATTGCCAGGACAACTTTTATTTCTGTGCTGCCACACCCAGGCCTGGCTAGCACCTTCTACAGCAAAGCAAGCTGAGAACAGATTCTAGGAAGGGATAGGTTTCAAGGGGGAGCAAGGAGCTTTGCTGGGCCAGGGCATGGGGTGGTGTCCATCCCTACAGCCCTGGCCTAGGGCTTTCCCCTCTTTAGCCTCTGATCCCCATACAACTGTCAGGAATGGTGATCCCCATTTTGCAGTTGGGAAACCCAAGGCTCAGAAAGGAAGTAGCTTTCCACATTGCAGGAATGCAGGCCAGAGGCCTGCCTTTCCCTGTGGTGTGCTAGCCTGGGACCCAAGGCCAGCAGCTTCTCAGCTGTTGCATTCCTCACATGGAGCCTGGTGCTGAGGGAGGAGGAGGGCCAGGAACGGTTGTTTACTCAGAGGCCAGGCCTCTGAGTGTGTGTGTGTGTGTGTGTGTGTGTGTGCCTCTGTGTGCCTGTGTGTGTGTGTGTGTGTGCCTGTGTGTGTGTGTGTGTGTACTTAGGGAAGAGAAGATTCCAGAGGGCTGCTGGAGTGTGGGGGAGGGTGTTGGAGGGGTGTATGAGTCCCTGAGTGAATACCAGCTGCTAAGGGGTTAGGAGAAGAGGGGAAGGGGGAGGAGTTTGGCCCTTCTTAACCCAGGAGCTGAAGAGTCTGGGGAGGGAAAGCTGCCAGCTCCCTCCCCCATCACAAACACACATCAAATGGCTAAAAGGCCCTTGTCCAGAGCAGCACAGAGGTAAATTAATTTTCCCAAGGCTGGTGGGGGTTGGGAATGGGGGGCAAAGGAGAGCGTGTGAACTGGGGCAGTGTCACTCAAGGCTAGAGGGGAGGGGTCAGTGAAGAGAGGCTGTCAGCTAGGTTCCAGCTGCTTCCAGCCACACCTCTGGGCTCCCCCTCCAGGGTGAGGGGGTATAGAGGAAGGAAATCATCTTGGATGCTCAGTGTTGAGGAGCGGTGGGGGCCCACCATTTGTGCTCCTCTATTATTTTCCCCCCCATCCTGTTGTTCCCTCAACTGGAACTGCCCGGTCCTGAAGCTCGGGCTTCTATTCTACTGTGTCTGCAATGACTGCCAGTCAAGTTCACAGACACCTCCACCCACACTCCCTCAGTTAAGGACCTGGGAAGTTAGGTTTGGACAAACCCCACCCCATCCCTCAGCCTTCCCAGGCCTTTCAGAGCTTATTTCTCTCAGCTCTTTCTAGGAGTTGGGTGTGGTGGTTTACACCTGTAATCCTAGCTACTCCAGAGGCTGAGATTTGAGGATCTTGGTTTGTAGCCAGCCAGCCCAGGGCAGGAAAGTCTGTGAGACTTCTTAGCTTCAATTAACCACCAAAAAGCCAGAAGTGGAGCTGTGCTTCAAGCCACAGTATGAGGGGGAAAAAAACAAAAAACCAAAAACCCTTTCATTACTTTCTGTTCACCTGGAGCAGGACAGGAGGCAACTCCTTCATAACTGAGTGTCAAAACTTCCCAGACAGCTTTGGGAAGCTGGCCTGGGATCCCCCCTTTTTTCCTACTGGGGACCTCCTGACCCTGTGCCCAGGAGTAGACCTGCCGGCAGTGAGGGTAGGGGTTAAAGGTGGTGATAGAGTGGCTCCAGGTAGTGGGTGGATCAGGAGGAAGCTGCCAGCAAGTGGGGAAGTAGCTCAATATTGGGGAAAGTACAGCTAGGTCCCTTTACCCCTGTTGAGAGCAGAAAGCTGGCACTGGCCCTTTAAGTGGGGGTGCCAGGCAATGCCCTCCCCCAGCCAACCCAATTCATGGGCACACTGAGCATGTGCAGGAGCTGTGCAAGAGAGGAGGGGTGGGGGTGGGGAATAGATTCCAGAGGGGCTACCCTCCCTCCTTGCTTCCTGTAGCTGCCTTCACTCTCCTTTCTGGGGCTGACAAAGGAGCCCATCATGCTCTTCCAGCCCCTTCTTCCACCCCAGATGCAGAGGGCGCTGCCCTCCTGAGTGCTGAGTTGCCAAGGGTGCTGGGCAGGCCCCCCTGGCCCTAGGAAGTCTCCCAGCTACCTGAAGGTGGCACCTACTCAGCCAAGTGCCAGCCTTCCTTCCCTTGGTGTGGGCGGTGGCCAATCTTCCAGCTGCTTAACGTGTTCGATTTCATTCCATTGGTGCCAGAGTTTTTAAGAGAACCCTGTGATGTTGCTCTGAAAATGAAACAGTGGAAAGGGTGAGGTCCCCGCCCCCACCAGCCAGGAGCTTCCAGTAGGAGCGGAAGCTGATTCTTCAAGCTGGATGAGGCTGCCAGCACTTCCCCAGCTTCCCTCTTGCTCCTTTCCTCCCTTCTCTCTCTAGAGTCCGGTTGCCTGGTCCAGGGGATCAAAGCAGGCTTCCTCAACCTGTAGCATCCTTTGCTGCAGCTAGGGGCATTTTCTCTTCCCCCAGAACCTCTCCACTTGTAACTTAACTTGCTTCTGCAGTGTTCTCAGCCCCTCAGGGAGATTTCCTACCCCCTCAGCACTTGTCCCTCTCTTCCTTCCTCTCATCACTGAGCCTCAAATACCCATTATCTTCTTTAAATGGATGGGAAATACACGTAAAGTGAAATGTACCCTTCAAAAGAGCAATTCAGTAGCATTTGGTATATTCACAAAGTGTGCCCCTCCCCATTTAGTGGCAAACTCTTGTCAGTTGGGAAGGAAGCTCCAAACCCATTAAGCAATTATTATTTCCCACCTACTCCCGCACCCCCCCTTTCTCCAGCCCTGACACCCACTCATCAGCTTTCTGTGCCTCTGGGTTTACTCAGCCTGGATCTATTCTTCATCTATGGTCATCCATGAAGGAGGGACCACTGAGCTAAGAATGCTGTGACCCCTATTTTTGTTCTTGCTTGGGGGCCTCCTTTCTTCATTTGGCCAAAAGAGGGGTCA